TAACAAAAATACTAAAGAACTTTGGATTATTTACCTAACGAGTTCTTTCCTATTTTCTATATATTTTTACACACACACACACACACACACACACACACACACACACACACACACACACACATATATATATATATATATATATATATATATCTCACACATTAAGAAATGGAAAAAGTCCGAGAATTATTTTAAGACATTTTATGTTTATCTATAAAAAAAAGAAAAGAACGTATAAACATAAAATAAATAATTGTCGGACTTTTTCCATTTCATAATATTTGACGTCATTTTTTTACATTCGGATACGCATCGAGCAGATATGAATGTACGTGAGAAAAAAAACGTGGAAAATTACAGTTTAAAAACGGTAAAATCGATCTGGCTAACCGAAACGCTCCTCTGTGGTGGAATCGGTAAAAGCACGTCAGTCGGTTCCGTCTAGGTTACATGTTCGATTCCTATCGGAGGGCCCATATATTCTGTAAGAATTTCAGGCCGGAAAATGTTGTTAATATTGTTTATTATAAATAGAGCATTTACTTAAATATTTGTATCTATAAAAAAAGGACTTATACACATAAAAAATATCTTAACATATATAAACTTATTTTAATATTCAGTAGCCAAATTATCAGTCAATCCTGGATGTACCCTTTATTTTGGGAAAAAAAAAAAACATGAAGATGAATTTCAAATATACTGTTTTTCCTTGTGCATGATATGATTACTGATGCCTGTTGATGATTGCTTCCATATTCCTTGTAGCCATCTCTTTGCTCATTGTTGTAGAGCGTTGAAAAAGGAACGAAAGGGATAACTGCACACGTGCTATGAAAAAACACCGAATCCAGTCTCTTTGTGAACGTATTGAAATGGACGGCGAAATATCAGAACATATCTGGGGAAAAAAAAAAGCAGATAGAAAAAAAAAAAGGTGAAAAAAAATAAACGTATTATTAGAAACGTATAAAAAAGCGCTAGATGAAAAAAAAATGTTACTGATAAAAACGAAAAATTTCTCTTGTAGATATTTGTGAAGATCTGAAGAAACACCATTAAGAAACTGAGGTTATAAGAAATATGGTCTGTGAAAAAAAAAATGGCGAAGTGTGTGAGAAGAAATGATACGAACATTTTTTTTTTAAATGGCAGTAATACGAAGTTATACACGCAGACCGAAATGACGAATAAATAATTTAATGGCTTAATGTGACGCTGAAAGAGATAATATCCTCGGTTCTTTGTCATTACGTAACAAAGCTTATCATTTTCCTTTTCTTTTGTTTGTTCCTCTGCTGGAAAAGTGCATTAAGTCTTAAATCACTAACGTCAACATTCTTTGTTAAAGGGGATGGAAATATATATATATATATATATATATATATATATATATATATATATATATATATAGCACGATTACATGGGGATTTTTAAAAAAAACGCAAGATTCGCACTTAATCTCGAGTTGGTATTACATGAAGCTAATATAGGGTGACACAAAAAAACGGGAATTTTTGAAGTGCGTATTACCAGACATGAGCAAGGGACAACACTGCGAGACAGTAACCTTGAGCAAGTAAACATTTCGCCATTTTAGTAGCCATGGATCAGTGGAAGGGACAGCAAAATGCGTTAGCAGCAGGCAATGAGGAATCTCAAAAGCAGATTTCAAGAATGCATTCGTACAGGAGGACGCCATCTACAGGACGTAATTTTTTAAAAATGAAAATTCCATCATTGTTTCTTAAATGGCATGTTTTAAGGTTCCAATTGCTATGAATAAAATATTTTTCTCCCATCACTCTTGGTTTTATTCGATTGTTACAAAGTTCCCGTTTTTTGGGGTCACCCTGTATAAGCCGCGACATATATGATAACTCTGCCTACCGTAGGCAACCTTTATCCCCAGTGTTGGCTACCAGCTCCTATAATTTTACCTACGATGGTCACTTCTGCATAACTCGAGACAGACTTAAGGACATATAACGTTCAAGTACCAGTTCTGGTCGCATCACCGAAGTTAAGCAACTTCGAGACTAGTCTTTAACGAGATGAGGAACTGCTTTGGAATTCCACGTGATGTAAGTTTGAATAGGCGGGCGATGTAAAGAATAATAGATCAGATCAGTTTTGAGACTGTGCTATTGCACTCAATTTGATATTTGGGGTTTCACAAGCATGCTCATCAAGGTCACGCAATATATTCTTCCATATCCTTACCATTTTCTGGGGAAATAACTTGAAAGTTTGTCTTTAGGTTCAAAATCAGAGTGATAGAATTTAATTCCTGTAATCAGTGAAAGCCATCTAGCCCAGCCTTATAAAATTTATAATTCAATGAAGCTTTATAAATAGTATATAGACAAGATGCATGGTACAAGTACATTATTATCAAATCATTGTCATTAAGATCTTTACAAGGAAATTATACTGTACACTTTAGCTATATTATGAGGTAATAATGAGAAGGTACGGCGGGGAAAAGGATAGCGGCTCGGCTGGAGGAAACGGAGAAATTCCAGTCGAATCCATTCCATAACACTCACGTGTTAATACCCTAGGGAAAAGTATGAATCCTCTTCTCAGCCAGCTATGGGTAAATAGCAGAAGAGACTGAGTTCTATAGCATTGGATGGTAACTAGTCTACTACGGATAGAAATGGCAACCTTCTGCTGGAAAAATCTGCCTAGATCTGTTAGAATTTTTGGGTACCCTGGTGTACTAGTGAGCCAACCAAAATGAGCTGACTCATTTTATAGTTCACAAATAGAAAGGTTAACCAATCAGAAAGCTCAAAATATTCAATCTGACGTGTATAAAGGCAGCCATTTTGTTTTTTTCTCCCCAAAATATCTTCACTGTCAACCTCTGATATCGAAGACTTAAAGAATTACTTAACAGCTGCTACTTTCTCCGAATCTTCACTGCCGACCTCTGATATTGAACAGATTACGGACTTCACTGGATTCTATATTCAAAGACTACGGCAAACATGGTTAACATTTAATGCAAAATATATTAACTTTATTTGGGTCTATTCTTGAAATAGTAATATTTTGAAGTCTATAAGCAAAAACCATCGGACATTAGGTATTTCTGTATATTTTTAAGACCGTATTTAAAAGTAAATGTTCGAAATTGGTAAAAGCTATTAATCTAATTTTTTATCAGTAAGATTGATCATATTCAATGCCAGCATTCACACTGAATTTGCATGTTGAGAAAAATCTACTTTCCCTTATGGCTAATGGCTGGGAATTGTTAATGGGAAAGCCGAGTTCCAATTCCAGTTGGGTTCGTTTTATTCACTCACATCAAAATACCCTTAGGAAAGATAGGAATCCACTTCTTCCTACCAATAGTTATAGGCTATTTAGTAAGACGTGTACCCTTAAATGATCATTATCTCAAACATAAATTCTTGCAATCTAAAAATAGATTCCGGCTTCAAATAACCTACAAAAAGTTTATAAGCCGTAGAAAACGATCCAATCAATCATAGCTGGATTCCATGAATATTTAATTAATAAATATTCATTAATATCAATATTGTGATTTAAATTTCAAGATATCTGTTCCCAGTTTATCTCGATTTGGAATTATGTGAAGCTATTCAAAACTTTAATAATAAAAATATGTTTGATAGTATGGAAAAGTATTTTTAGTCACCCCGCGTCTTACTAAAAATTATCAATAATTTTGACTGCTATCGGCTATAATTTACTTTACAGGGTCACATAGATCGATCCATGATAATATTATTGACTAAATGTATTATTATTATTATTATTATTATTTCCTTTGATTTCTGGTGTCTACATATTTCTTTCGAGTCCAGCCCAGACACCTAAGGTTGAGAAATGGCATCATGACATTTTCCTCAGAAAAAAAAAAAAACTTATTTTACATAGATAAAGCCCTTCGTAAGGTGTGGACTGTACTCGTGAGAACAAGTTTTTTTTTTTGTATTTCTTTAAGGCATGAACTTCCAGGAATCCCTTCAATTAGTCTACTGGAATCTTTTCCAAGAAATCCGATGGATCCAACTGCATAAGTTATTGTTGATGTTCCCATGTGCCACATTTCTGAAATTTTGATTTCATGGTCTTTGTATTAAGATAGCTTTTTGAATATCTTCAAAGATACATTGCAGTCCACGGGGAATGCCATATCACTAAAGAGGCACTTTTTTGTTTGTTGTCTCTAATAAAAATGTCTTGGCGGTTAGTTTTGATTATTATTATTATTATTATTATTATTATTATTATTATTATTATTATTATTATTTCCTTTGATTTCCGGTGTGTACACATTTCGTTCCGGGTCCCGCCCATAAACCTAAGTTCAGAAATGATATCATGACATTTTCTACTGACCAATTAAAAAACAAAAAACACACTCACATATTTTTCATAGATAAAGCAATTCATAAGATGTGGGCTGTGCTCGTAAGTACAAATTATTATTATTATTATTATTATTATTATTATTTAAGCAGAATTTTTCTGTTCAGATCCTCATCTCACTTTGGCACTATGTGCAACTAATCTAAGCTGAATAATCTACTATAAACTAACACTTGATATCATATAAATATCTTCCTCCCAGATAGTGAATACAGCTGGCTACAATTTTACCCACAATTCCCACTTCTACATCGCCCTGTTTTTCATGAAAATGTAATTGAAAAATGTTCATTAATATCATTATTATTCTTTAAATTGCAAGATGTCTGCTCGCATTTCGTTTTGATTTGACATTATGTAAAGATTGTCTTCGACCATATCACTTTGAAAATTCCAAAGAATTATGCCGTGCCATATTCTCCTTAAAATAACATTAATATGACCTGCATTATTTGAAGTCTAGGTTTAATGTCATTATCAAACGGTTTGCAAGGATCTATAAGCTGCTTTCCTGGTCGACGTAATAATCTCATGGGTGGGAGACAGCTGACTCATTATCAGTCAGGTCTTTTCTTTGCGACTTAAACCAGATCTCGAGTACACTCATTCTCGTCCAATCAACGAAGTTAAGCAACGTCGAGCCTGATCAGTACCTAGAAGGGTGACCCCTTGTGTATACCAGGTGCTGTAACCTTAGATATGCCGGTGGGGTAAAGGATAACGGATCGGAATTGGAAATCGAAGAGTGAATAACGAATTACAGTCGAGTTCGATACATTCACTTAGGCGCAGATACCCTTCAGAAAGATATGAATCCATCTCTTCTCCCTCCAGATATTGGTTAAATAATAGGACTGGGTTCTATAGCCTTGGATGGCAGTTAGTCTACAGAAGAAAGTGTTGGAAACCTACTGCGGTAAATCTCAAAATGCTCTCTTATAAAATGCCTTGAGCCAGTATGTTCATAAAATTCGAATAACATCTCATTTTGATGCAGCTTTTAATCGATGTTGTTCCCAGGTCCACTCTTACTTAGGGTGTTAGCAACTGTTGGGGTCCCAGCTCTTGGCAAATTGTGTACGCCAATACACTATGAAAGTATAAAAATATATATTTTTATAGTAAACATACGAACAATACATTTTAATATAAAAAAAATTTACCAACAATGAATATTTATAACATGATTATTAACAACACACTTTTAAAGCAGAATTATCAACAATAAATGTTATTGTAAAATGACTATTAATACGATTAATCTATAGCTGAAACCATAAAACTATGTTCAAAATATTTAGATTACGGCATTAAATAAGCCAGGGAGGTTGATATACCAATAAACAACATCAACCAATCATGTTAATGTACATTTTGCAATACACTGAGTAAGCCTTTCTTAAATATATCGGTAAAACAGTCAATGCTATTTTCTGGCTTTAAATATCCTGCAAAAGGTTGATAAGCCGTAAAAAAACAAATCAATCAATAAATTTAGAGTGGTTAACATTATAGAATTTTAATGCTGATTTTCAATCCAGTAAATCAATTTAAGCAGAATTGTGTAACATAATTTATATATATATATATATATATATATATATATATATATATATATATATATATATATATTTTCTCCTTTCTTTAAGGTCTTATGTCACATTAAACAACACTTCGCTTGAGCTAATAATATAAAAATCTTAAATAATCGATAGGGAAGGGATATTAGATGTTGGGGACAACGTGGAATCTAAATTTGGTGGGGATATTTTCCAGGAGTGCTTGTTATTATAGTCAAACCCGTACTGAGAAAATAAAAGAAGCCATATTGGGAATCAGATTAAACGTGGAATCTCTTGGAGAGTTTCAGACACGGGGATAGAGTGCATGATTGAAAGAACCAAAATAAAAACAAAACGAAGAGGTGAACATCGATTTGTTCCATGTTTTTGCCAGGATCTTAATTTCCGGACAACGTAACCAAAGTCGGACATCGGCGCTCAAGGCCAGCAAAATAAATCTTTCTTATCCAGCGCTTGTACATATAGGCTGATGGCCGACTTCCGGTAGCTTTTGATGGGAGAAGATGCGGCGAATGAGCGGGCAAAATGGTCAGCTCTATCTTGCAATACTTGTCGAAGTTGTTTCAAACAGAATACATGCAATGAATTGACAGAGATACTGGGAAATGATTGATTTTTCCCGGAGATTAAAAATGTAACCGGTTACATGGGGAAGCCGAACGCAAGAGACGGACAGGCCAATTTCTTAGGGACCAACCAGCATAAACTAAACTTCCGATTAGCAGGAATTTAGGTGGGGAATAATGGTTGTTTGTTCGCAAGAACCAAATGGTTGGAAGAAAGATTACAAATAAACCGATTAAGTTCGAATCAGCGGGGAACACAATCCACCCGCATATCGTAAAAAAAATCATACGCTTACATTGTATTTGAGACAGTAATCTGATAAATAAAACAGAAAACATATGTTATTATTATAATGTCTATAACAAACAATCAATCATACAGCACGCACACACACACATATATATATATATATATATATATATATATATATATATATATGGTGAACACTTCAGTTCTATTCGACGTATAACGATCAAGCAGCTCAGTTCCTAGGAATTGAGAGCCGCTATCCACTACTCGACCATTTCTCCTTAATATATATATATATATATATATATATATATATATATATATATATATATATATAATTGAGCATTGAAGACCACGCTCAGACGCGATAGGCTGTTTCATGCTAGACGCAATAATCAGTTATTTTCTTTCTTTCTTTGTTTAATGATAATGTTATAAAGCTTAGCAGAAGATATAAAAGAATTTACATAAAATAAATAGACCTTGTCTATATTATTCAATGAAACATGCATGAATAATATATATATATATATATATATATACATATATATATATATATATATATATATATATATATATATATATATATATATATATATATATATATATAAAGACAACTAAAGAAAAACTATACTTAGCCAACGCGTTCCGTCCTCTGAGGAATTTTGTTAAGGAGACGTGTTTGGTTTTACAATGAAAGTGTCATGTTTTCCGAAGATTCTGGAAATGTAACGTTTTTCTTCTTTAAAAACGTAAATATGAAACTGTGTTTTTCTTCTTTAATTCATCTGTTTGTTATGTAATGACCTTGATTGAGTAATCAATTAGTTTTCTTATCTATATTATTCATATAACCCTCAGATTATTCCTTAGAAAGAGTACGATATTAATTGTAGACGTTACGAAAGAAAATTCTATGATATTTTTCATGTTATTAATTATAGGTTCGCGATAGGTTCAGTGAATAAATAACTGAATACGCAGGTGAACGAACAAATGAATGAACGAAGTTTATATATATATATATATATATATATATATATATATATATATATTAAAGAAAAACAGACTACTTTCAGGTTCCATTATAATAATTTATTTCACCAGAGCCCTTTTAAAGAACGCCGGATCATCAGATAGCACTTCCAAAAAATGAAACGAAAAATGAAATGAAAATTGATGGGTAGTGTAAGTATTTGTAATTTAACAGCGATTGCAATAAAAATTACAAAACAGTAATAATTCTTCGTATGAATTCTAAAATTTATTAACCAAAATTTAACTTTTTCTTTTCCCCTTAAATTTTTGGAAAATTAATTTCGTTAAAAAGACTAGTGATTGTAGCAACAGCAATTATATTTTTTTTAATTAATTAGCAACTAATCTGATTAACAGAAGCATTTTTTCCATAATTTTAAATATATAAATTATTACTATAAATATATAATTTATTATTTAAATGATAAATATTTAATTTATTATTTATAACGGACTTGTTTTCGTTAATAGGAGTAGATAGACTCACCTATAGTCCGGTCCGAAATCCTTCCATATCTATTGGACAGGAATAGAGGTTCATCCCTTGTTTCCTGTCAAGGATATGATTTACCGGATGTCTTTGTTTCTTCTACCAGGCCAGAGTGGTTTAAATTTCTTAACTTTGTGGTAATCGGTTTAACCAGTGACTGTGACTTTCCATTGTGAGGGTACTGGGTTGGCGGTTTGCAGGCTGCTGCTTCCGTCTGGTCGTTTGAGGCCCAGAAACTTTGTTAGCTGTTAGAGAGGCTGCTCTGATCAACGGCTGCATAATATCGGGCTATTTGTAGTGCCATGCCGCGCATGGGTAGGTGTCCCTGCTTGTATTTTCGGTGGGCAACTCTGAGTACGAACTATGCTCTGTTCTGGTTTGTATTACAATTGAAGACAGATAGTGTCAATTACAGTGATCTACTCTCTCTCTCTCTCTCTCTCTCTCTCTCTCTCTCTCTCTCTCTCCTCAAAACGAATTTCATAGAAAACAACAAAAAAGAAATAAAAATAAACCAGTAAACGAAAAATCACCAACACACCTTTTCAGATAGCACTTCCCAAAAATGATACGAAAAATGAAATGAAAATTGATGGGTAGTGTAAGTTTTTGTAATTTAACAGAGAGTGTAATAAGGAGAGGTTAGAGAGACATGGTAGAGTTTAGAGAGGGTTTAATTTAATATTTCTCTTAATCATATTTAGTATTGGGGGAGGAGGAGTGACCAGACATTGACGTATTTAAACGGTTAACTTAACGGAAGTGAAATATTCAAATGGGAGGGGAGAAGAGAGAAAAGAAAAAGGAAAAAAAAAGAAAAAAGGCTTTCTTTCATTGCTATTCGAGGTATCCGTTCCAATTTCTGCAGCACAGAATCTTCCCTCTTGGAGCGGTCGCCAGATGATTTTGCTCTCTGTGAAACTAACTTAAATTCTTCCATTACTACCAATGAATTCTTGGTTCCAGGCTACCTTCCCCTTTGTCGAAAAATATTCCAGCATTTACATGAATGGCCTTGGCGTTTACATCCGGGATAACCTTCTGATGTCTTCAAGTTCTCTTCTGATATGAAGTGGAAAGACTATATTGAATCCATTGTTAGGTCTGTTGCTAAAAAATTCGGTTTAGTATATCGCACGAGAACATTTTTCTCTCCAGAATCTAACTTACATATCTATAAATTTACTATTTGTCCATGCTTAGAATATTACTGCCACATATGATTTGGTGCTCCTGCTATTGACCTTGAACTTCTTGATAAGATCCAAAGAAGTGCCTGCAATATTATTGGTCCTGATCTGGTTGCTCGGCTTCAGTCACGTAGCCGCCGCTGTAAAGATACTATTCTATGTTTTGTTTTCTATAAATACTTTCATGGCAATTGTTCAAATGAGCTCTTGGCTACGGTCCCTAGATGTCATGAATTTAAGTGCCATATTAAACTGCGTCGAGATATCATCAATTAACAGTTTAACTGGCTAGATGTAGCCGTGAGTTCTATGCTAACAGTTTCTTCTCTTGCACTTCTCGCTTGTGGAAACCCCTTCCGGTTCCATGCTTTCCAATGTCAATCGATATCTATTGTCCTCCTGATGACTCTCTTCTCCTTCTTCTAATCCTTAAAGTTTTTTTTTTCTTAATTCTTCCGCCTACTTGCAACCACTTGTGTATTGGTATAACTGCCTTGCGTGGAGTAGTACCGCATTTAAAAAAAAAAAGATTTATGCACTTCCTTGCTTGGGGTGATTTCGATTAAAACAAAGG